ACAGAGGAACTGCAGCAAGGTTCACCCAGGCTTCTGGTTATGGCCTTGTTGAATAAAGCTGTCATTAGAAATAGCTTTTCCTTATTGGGAGGACCTGCCTGAGGATACACTGGAGTTGTAACAGAAGTGCTGGTAATGCTGAGTGACTATTTCTGAAATATGCATGCTGCTGGGATGTGAGCTCTGTTAGCAGAGCCAGGGCTGGTGATGGACTACTGAGCAGTAACCTGTGGGCTCTGGTAACGTGGCTGTGTGCTGTGTCTGGCAGCAGCAGGGAGAGCCATGTGGGCAGAGAAGGGCTGTGACTGGGTCTGTGAGCAAGTACAAGTCTCATTGCTTTTGATAAATTATTTAACAGAACACCTAATTGCACGGCCTACTGAATGTAGGTTGGGTTTTTGAGCCTCTTCCTTCCTGTTAGTTGGTGATTACACAATAACTGACACAAGGGAACCAAAATCAAGTGAAGCTGTGCTGGAACAGCCCTGCTCACTGCTTGAGCTGAGCATGGCTGCAGGCAGGAGCTGCTCCTGGAGCTGACATCCAGAGCCCTGGTGAGGAGCTGACATGGACAGTCTGCTCTGGAGTGGCTGAATGGCAAAGTGCTAGAGCAGCTGCTGCCAGGTGGGAGCAGCGTTGGGGATATGGGTGGAAATGGGATGAGTCTGCTCTGGTGCAAGTTACTTCTGAGTGTCTTGCCTAATGCACACAAGCTCTTTACAACTGTATGGAAATTACTCAATGAACTCGGTCCAAGGAGTCCCACAAGGTCCTGCAGTAGGGTGGGTCGTTTTGTGTCTAATTTAGATAGTATTGGATTGTGGCAAATTATTCTGCGTTCTTCCCTTGTGCTTTTATGCACGCTTACTGAGGGACAAAATGTTTTTTCTTGGTTGAGTGCAACTTCCATTTTTAGCAGCTGTCTGGGCTCCGTGCTTCTTGCTCCATGTTGCTAAAAGGAAAGCTCTTGGAAGGCTCTATTGTGAGCTTCCCAGTCTGGCTTGTGAAAACTGCTGTGGCAGAGTCAAAATCCTTGCATGTGAATTCAGTAAACGAGCTGTGATGACTTGAAGATAAGGAATCAAAACATCCAGCAGAAGTGCACACTTGAGATGTTAGAAATGGTCACCGCTCACACATGCACTCAGGGGCACTGGAGACCACATTGCTGTGTCTGCTTTGCTCCTCAAGAGAAAGTGGAACAGTTTGATTAATTGCTGAGCACTCGATTTGACAAGCCTGAATTTGATGTAGGCTGCTCTGAGGAGGGCTCTGGTTCAGAGCAACTTCCAACCTGTGCCTTCATACAAAGGGTGAAATTCAAAGGGCTTGTCTTCCCAGCTACTGGCTGTCACTAGCAAGATGTACGTTTGTTCTGCAGGCAACAAGGGCTGCAGGGCATGGGAGGATAAGGTAGGGACATGTTTGTCAGCATACACAGTAAGTGCATAAACCTAATTTCTCTGTCTGGAGAGTTTAAAACATGATGTAATATGGATCATTGAGATAACACTGATCAAGGCAAGCTAGCATTGATTAATTTAGGACTTCAGAGGAAGCATAAGACTCTGTGCCTCTCAGTATCTGCTGTCTTTGAATCCAGTGTTCAATGTAAAGGATCCTGTATCTTGCCAGTGTAGAAGATGCTGGGCTGTGTTCCCAGGCCTCTCCCCATTGACAGGTAGCAAGACTTACAGTCAAAATGCTTGCAGCCTTGCTAGGTTTCCCTTTCTTTCCCCTATCCAGGATCAGAGGTCTGATGTCTCTGAGCCATGGTAAAGGCTCTGCCCTGTGTTCTCTAGTTCTTGTTGGCCAAAGCCTGGAAGACAGTCAACTTATGTTAAAGGAAGCTACTTCTTTCTCAGATTCAAAAGGGGAAACAGTAGAGGAAAAAAAGGGTGTGTATCTCAACACTGAAACTCCCCCGTGCAGACTTGAGATGATGAATGACTGTTTCCACACTGATCATATACCATGCAAATGACATTTGTGGGATGACACCAACCCTGTGTCATTAATGGCCAGCAACTCACATCAGGCTGTTAAGTCAGTCAGCACTTCCACAATTAGTATGTGTGCTCAGCAGCCTGACAGCAGGCTCAACTTTGAGTGCTCTGTGTACCTGCAGTCTTTGGTTGAGAATGGTTTTAAGCTTCTATAGAAAGAAAAGGCAATATCTGTAAATGATGCAGGCCTTCTGGGGTTGCCTAGGTGTAATGTTTTGCACTGTCTTCTGTATGAGCTTGATTCTTTTACATTAATCCACATCTAGTCACAGAAGCAGCTACCAATTGATGGCCATTTCCCGTTGAAGCCTCTCTTTTTCCTGAAGAAAGAGGGAACAAGCAAATAGCAAACCTCCAAAACAACCAGCATTTTCAAAGAGTTAATGTTAGGATTTGCAGGGGAGAAAGCTGAGCAAGCTGAGCAGGCCTTGAGCAGTGGCAGCCTTTTTAGCTCATGTCTGACATTTGCTAAAAAAACCGTCTAGAATTAAGGGAAAAACTTCCTCTTCTTCATGCAGATGACCCAAGCAGACTGTCTTTCACCCTCTCTCCCTTCCCCTCTTACAAAACGTTGAGGAGAAAAGGGGATGTGATTCAGACCAGGCACAGCAAAGCGATGGGCATCAGAGCTGCTGTCTTCAGTGTGACACAGGAGCTGTGTGCACAGCACTGCTGTGAGCTGACGGGGGGATCCACGCTTGCAACCTGCAGCTGTGAACTTGGCATTTAAGTTATACCTTTAAAAAATACTCTCAGAGCTTCCAGTTTTATCACCTGGGCACCACAAACCTGCCTTCTGCTGCAAAGGGTGCTCTGTCTACGTGACTCTGCAGTACTGAGGGAGAAACACGTTTTTCAGAACGCAGCAGATCCTTTGTTCCAAGTGAAATGTTGCCATTCATTGTGTAATAAATCGGTGCATAATCATCCCTACTATCTTTTATTTGTGGATGCCAGCGAGGCCAGGGAACATCTTTTCAATGGATGAACGTCAGCAGCAAGTCACCCTGTCTGTTTCTTTGTCAAGACAAAGCACTGATTGACAGAGATTTCCTCCTTCAGAAAGGAAACCCCATTTTCCTGCAAGAGTAGCATAAACACACGGAGAGTATTTATACAATGTGAGATGCAAATCAGTTGTCAAAAGTAGCTCCTCACTAAGACTAGCAAGGTAAAATGTTTTATATTTCCCTTGACAGAAGCAAGGATCGAATGTGAAAGCATCTGGCTGACAGCCGAGCCTTTAGCTGGAGCCAGGCTTTATTTTCTGTGCCCTGTATCATTTGCTTGCAGCAAGACAAATGTCTGTGATTATACCAAAGCACAGGGGGACGTGCAGCATCACACCTTTGCTTACACCTTTGGCTGCCCTTGCTGTTGGAGCAGCCCTGTGCAGGGCAGCTTTCCTTGGATCAGAGCTACTGCCCAAATTTAAGCAGTGTTTATAGCAGCTAACTGAACGAGGGTCAGCTTCCATCATCAAGGAGAGAAAAACCACTGCAGAGAGCAGTTCTCAGCCTGAAGCTGTGTCCCAGGTTGCTCATGTGAGTCTCTCCTTGGTTGGGCTGCTTTCTCCCAGGCTGTGTCACTTCGCACACCTCGAGTGAAATGAAATCACCTCCAGCCTGCGTGCCGCCTTCCTTACTGAGGGACGGGCAGCATGTTGAGAAGAGTTCTGCAGAGCGCTCAGACTCCTGGAGAAAAGGTCTGCTCTGTCTTCTCGTGAAGGATCACTTTCTGTGCAGCTCCTCCAGCGGCTCTTTGTGGCTGGGTTTCATCAGTCCAGTTCCACATTCACTTTTGCAGTGACCACTGCAGAATGGCTCCGGGTCTTGGCAATGGTGTAGGAAATAACCCCACATTTTACAGTTCCTTACAAGCAAAAAACTGACAAAATCCTCATTTGAATTCCCATTTCCTTAGCTGCAGCTCTTTGGATCACGGATTTTTGTAGTGTGGACTGATTTTTTCTCCATCATTCTGCTTGCATTTCTTGCGGACCTGGATGTCTCCCCATTCCCATGTCTCACTCGGCGCAGGTAAACCCAGCTCTTAATGCAAAGTCTGTCAAACGGGTCAGAGCTGAAATCATCACCATGAGAAACAGCGGATCCATAGCACACATAAATGGTGAGATTGTTTTCTGCTCTCAACCCTGTCCAAAGAACTGCCTGCTGATGTTTGCAAGTACGCTCAGCAGCGTGCCTCCGAGTGCCTGGAAATGATGAGGGCTGGGGGCGTTGCATGCATCCAAACCGCCCCTGTTTGCTTCAGACAAAATCATCTCAGAGGGGCAGAGCAAGCAGTGCTGTGGTCCAAGCACAGGACTGAAGTGCAGGAGATCTGAGCACTAAATATAGCAGCTGTGCTCAGTCAGCACAGCAGATAACATCCCGCACCGGGACGGAGCTCTAAGTGTGAAATTAAATCCCCATCTTGGCACTGAGAGAGCTGGGATCCTGTCTGTTCTCTGGTTTGTGTCTCTCAGATGTCTGGGAGAATGAAAACATCAAGAAACAAACAAACAACAGAACACAGTTTAGAACTGTGGACTGAATTCTTCCTTTTTCTCAGTGATTTTTATGGGTCCCTTCCACCTCGGGACAGTCCGTGATTCCCTGATCGTGCAGCACGCCTTACTGATGCTTGCAGAAGCCTCTGAAGGCAGACAGACATCACGGGGCTTCAGACCTGCCTTTTGTTTCTTGTTTTAATGCAAACACCAAAGAAACAGAAGCTGTGGGGCCGTGCAGCTCCTGGCAGGGAAACACAGACAACACACCTACAGAACCCAGAATCCAGGAGCTGCGATGCTCCGCACAAGAGAAAGAAACCCATCGATGGGCGCGCTTATCCAGGGCAGCGCAGGAATCACCACCTTCTGCCTTAAGCTCCGCAGCCTTAACGCGCTGCCCGGCTCGGAGGCGGAAGGTCGGCGTGCCCGGCTCCGCCCGTGCGGGGAAGGGGCGGAGGGGCGGGCGGGGCCGGGGCGGCGGGGCCTTTTCCGGCTGCGGGGCTCCGTGTCCGTGTGGGTCCCGCGTGGGTCCCATCCGGAGGTCCGTTCCTCGCCGCACGGACACAGCGATTCTGTTTCGGGTATTCCATCCGCAGCTCTTCGTTTAGTAGTGGTCCGTGTGACGCCTGCACTGGTGCCGATCAGTTGCTGTGTATGCGCGTTAGCGTTTGCTTGGTTGTCTTCATAGCTGTGGAATGAATTGCGTTAATAAAATACGCTCCTCTCTCTCACGCGGACATGTAAAGCGAGTAATTGCGCTCCTGCCGTCAGTGAGTGCTGGAAAACAAATCCCAAGTGCAGTAAGGGCAGCTACTGCACAGCTCTGGGGGGGGGGGGCGGGGGGGGGAGGGTCGTGTTGGGATGTGGGATGGGATGTGTTGGGATGTGTTGGGATGTGAG